GTCATTTCATTATTATATTCTACACGTCATTAATAGCGACAAAGATCGATATTAAAGTATCCTTTCTGACCCAAGCTCTAGCATGGCAATAAACTTTTGAATCATCATTAAAAAAATTGTGTTCATATCATTATGATAGGACAAAAATAGCCGACCCGAATACTGTGTGTGCGTGTGTGCTTTTCGCGCGCGCGCGTGTGTGTGTGTGTGTGCTCTCACCTCAGCATTCTTGTGGGGTTTTATGTGCGCTTCACATACCCCTTGTGAGGCATTTTTACTTTGTGGGGTATTTTTTCAGGACCCCACAGAGTAAAGTCTTTCAAATGACTGTATATTCGGTGTCCTATGCCCTGCGGGGCATTAGAAGTGGTACCCCATAAATGACTTTTTGTGAGCGTGTGCTAAAACTTGCACACTTTTTTATGGTAACATCGTAAGCACACCGCCGGGTTGTTATCGCCAGGTTGTACATACCCCACTAGTAGGGGACCACAAGGTATATCTGGAACGCACAGAAATACCCCACAATCAGGTGCCCCACAAAGGCCCTGATGTGAGAATGGGTGTCGTGAATTTGTTGAATAATATTCATACCAAATGCCATTAATATAAATCAATGTTTCTTATCCTATAAACACATTAACTAATTTAATCGAAAACTTCCTTCATTTCCTTCTTATTGGCAATATTGTAAACAATAAACAAATAGAGGAGCGCAATAAATAAATTAAAAAGAAGGGAGGAAAAAAAACCAGTAGCAAATGCGTGTTGGGAATGCCCATTACACCAAAGGACACGTAACTGTAAGAACTGAGATAAAGTCACTACATGTTAATTGCGTATATTGTTTCGAGTCTTCTGAACTAAGAGGTGTTTGGTCCTTGGTGTTTACTATGACACCATGACAGACTATAAAAACCAGTGTACTAGAATATTAATAATAATACGCAGCATGGATGTTGTTTAAAACGGGGTGAAAAATGTCGCGAGGAATATACAATTTTATGAAATATATGATAATGAAAGATGTACATTTTGATATAAGAATTTTTTTTTATAATAAAAAATATGAAGAAAAAATGAAAATAATATTGTTATTTTCATTGAAAATAAGCAAAAACCTTCCGGCTTTGTAAACAGCCGAGTATATTTAGCCATCAGTTTTGACAGGTCATGACCATACATTCTCATGCATGTCATACCATGGCTCTGCTGTATGAGTAATATCCTCAACTGCCGATCAAAACTAATACTTTTTTCATATTTAAACCGTAAAAAACAAAAACTCCAAAAAATATGGTTAGTCGTTGGCTTAGCTTTTTCAGAGGAGAATAATTCACTTTACCAGAGTACGTATTCTTTGGACTTCAACTTCTGAATTAGATCAAGTCTTAAACTTCATTGAAGATAGTTCTATAATGGTTTGTTGCCGTAAGCGCAGTCTCCTAGAAACATATTCGATCTTTTAATTCACAAACAAGTCTGTGGCAGTGTTATCAATACATGAATATTCACAAGTATCTAATCTACATAATCATATAGACGTTTAGGCCTACAGCCGAGTAGAATAGGGGATTCCCCAGTATTATATCCTGTTACTCATCACTAACATAAGTGTCGCCCTCATGAGTTCAAAACCAAGGTTCATATCTTTTGTATACGTGTAAGAACAAACATCGATACATTTTAACGCCATAAATATTGCCTTAAAGATTTCTCTGCAAGACATGGATGTTCTGAAGGATAATTCTGATTGAAGAAAAAAAAATACCCACACGGTCTTATCGTAACTTTCTCTAAATAGTCAGGTCAATATATGGTTTGACCCCCCCCCCAAAAAAAAACAAAAACAAAACAAAACAAAACAAAACAAAACAAAACATGGGATAGACATCAAAATTATGTCTCTGGGATGGATAATAAGTGATTTATGGCCATTTTTAGGTATCGTCGGCCATCTTGGACGCCATCTTGAAAATAACAGCTTTCTGAAGCTTCGATTTTGGTCTACTTTTAGTATGTTATTCCTGAGGTCGAATACTACTAGAAACCGTTGAAAAACCTTTTGTTGCAATTTTTTTGGGGTTGGGGTGTTTTTTTACCGTATATTGACCTGACTAAAAGAGAATTACACGTGATTGTCCCCTCCGTGTCGCTTATGCCTGTACACTGGCACACGATAACCAGATACCTGTGTCCGATTTATTTTCATTTTTATTAAAAAATGGAAGATAATTTAAGGGAACACAACAAAGAATAAACTTAATGAGTAAATTAATAAATTAATAAATAAATTACCAAACTTTTAAAAACAAATATTGCTATCTATATGGTTTTAATATCAGTTAATTGTTAAGATGTTCTTGCTTGTTAATGAACCGACGATAGAAAGCGAACTAAAACAGCATGAAATAGATGTATACCGTCTTGTTGACATTATCATAATATATTTGTTGTCATCAGCTTAGAAAAGGTGTGTCCATTTATGTATGTGTGGGTGTTTGTTCGTGTATGTTTGTGTGTGCGTTTGAGTGTGCATGCGTTCATAAAATAATTCATACGAAATGCAATAAATATAAATCAATTCGTAAACACATCAACTGATTGAATTGAAAACTTCATTCATTTCTTTCTTATTGCCGATATTGTAAACAATAAACCAATAGAACAATGCAGTTCATTTAAAAGAAGAAGGAGGCAAAATATTAACCCGGTAGCAAATGCCTGTGTTGGGAATGCCCATTACACATAATGACAGGTCACTGTATAACTAATAGTGTTGGGCATTAGAGGATAACGTCACTTGAGTTACATGTTAATCGCGTATATTGTTTCGAGTATTCTATACTAAGGTGTTTGGTGTTTACGATGACACCATCACGGACTATAAATATCAGTGTACTTGAATATTAATAATAATACGCAGCATGGATGTCATTTAAAAATGGGATAACAAATTGTTACGAGGAATATACAATCTTATGAAATATATATGATAATGAAAGATATATTTTTTTTTAAATTAAAAATATGAAGAAAAATTGAAAATAATATGTTATTTTTAATGAAAATAAACAAAATCTTTCGGTAATCACAGCCGAGAATATTTAACCATCAGCTTGATCATGGCAAGACTATACACTATTGAGCACATCATACCACGAGTGCACTGTATGCCAAATAGACTCACCTGCCAAATAGAGCTAATACTTTTCTCGTATATATACCGTAAAATACAAAAACTCCAAAAAATATGGTTGGTTGTTTGCTTAGCTATTCCAGAGAAGTATAATTCACTTTACCAGAATACGTATACTTTCAACTTCTAATTCTGAATTAAATCAACTTTTATACTTCATTGTAGATAGTTCTATAATGGTATGGTTGCCAAAAGCGCAGCCTCGTAGACAAATATTCGATCTTTTAAGCAGGTCTGTGGCAGTGTTATCAGTGCATGAATATTCACAAGTGTCTAATCTACATAATCATATAGACTTTAATAGGCCTCCAATCATGGACCTATGCTCCAACCGAGTACAAGAGGGGATTCCCCAGTATTATTTCCCTCTGACTCATTACTGATGTATGTGTCGCCCTCATGCGTTAATATCCAGAGTTCATTTCTTTGTATACGTGTAAGTGGGCAATTCCATAAATTAGGGACCCACTTTGCGACATTTTTGATGTCCCACTTGCATAAAGAACCCACAGTCCCGCACGTATTTGTGGCTCTGAGTTCAGACTTGAACTCAGAGGGGTGTGAGATTGTAAAGTGATTTCCAAGCATAATATTACATCATCATACCTAGAATCACTTTCACTCCACTATTCAAGTCTTTACTCAGAGCCACCAAAAATGTCACTAAGTGGGTCCCTAACTGTCATAAAAAACGCGATAAATGTTAACGCCATGAATATTAACGATTACTCTGCATGGATGTTGAGAAGCCGAATGTTCTAATTAGGGATAATTCTGCTTTCATTTTTTAAAAGAAAAATAAAGAACGATAACGGTCTTATAGTAACTTTCTCTAAAGGGATTTATACGTGATTGTCTTTTCCACATCGCTTCTGCCTGTACACTGACACACGAGAGACAAATTATCTGTGTCCGATTTACTTTCATTTTTATATCAACAAATATTTTTGTTTTGTTGTAATGGAACATAGACTTAATCGAGTAAATAAATAAATCAACGAAAAAAATAATGATAAACAATCTAAGATGAATATATTATGGTGTTAATAAAAATTTGGTTTTAGTAGTGTTTGCTTGCTAATGATGCGACGATATTAAAATTAGAAAATTAGAAATTATACCAAATATCTTAACATAAAAATTATTATCTTGTTTACAATTTATCATTATAGATTTGTTTGTCATCAGCAGAGACAATGTCTTGTATACCCCCTATGTCCATTATGTGTGTGTGATTGGGTTTTTAACGGACGCGTATCAATCAGATCATGATTGCTTACGGTCTGAGACCGACCGTTAGCGTCACCAGGCGAAATACGTGACTCCGATCAGATTCAGTTTGTAGGCAAAAAGTTGACCGTAACACCACCTGAGTAGCTAATAGACTAGTTAGTGGCTACTATTACCTTACCATGTTTACTTAAAGATATATACCTACCATAGAAACATTTGTTTAATAGATACAGCTGGAGCAGGAAAGAAGGGAGAGATATATCGAGGAGGCAGATAGGAGAGGCAGAAAGAGAAAGAAAGAGAGAGAGAGAGAGAGAGAGAGAGAAAGAGAGAGAGAGAGAGAGAGAGAAAGAGAGAGAGGGAAGAAAAGGGAGAGATAGAGAGAGAGAGAGAGAGAGAGAGAGAGAGAGAGCGAGAGAGAAAGAAAGAGAGACAGATACGAGTGTAAGTGGAGATAGAGAGAGATGGGAGAGAAATATGGAGAAAGAAAAGAGAGAGAGAAAAAAAGACATATATATATATATATATATATATACATACAGATATTGGTGTAAGAGGAGATATAAAGATGGAGAAGGCGGATGTGAGAGAGAGAGAGAGAGAGAGAGAGAGAGAGAGTGAGAGAGAGAGAGAGAGAGAGAGAAAGAGAGAGAGAAAGAGAGAGAAGGAGAGAGAGAGAGAAAGAGTGAGAGAGAGAGAGAGTGAGAGAGAGTGAGAGAGAGAGAGAAAGAAAGAGGGAGAGTACGGTATATGGTATGGTATTTATTTTCCAGATCACAATATATAAAGCAATACAACATATTAGAAAAGTACATATTGGCTGGACAGCCTACTCAGCTGTGTTGATATGACAAAACTGTTCTTCCTTGGGGTCCAGAAAATTAAATGAAAGTAAACTTACAATTACTAACCATGCAAAAAGTCGTGTTTGTTAGAAACCTGGAAAATATGGCGTATGGGAGGGGGGGGGGGGGGGGAGTAGACAGTCCATTGCGGATGCCTAAAGGCTGGTTCAGATATGACGCGTTAAATCACTCGACACCCCCCCCCCCCCCCCCCCCCCCCCAATACATATTTAATACATCAAATACAAACAGCCGCTGTATACCGCTAGATATCTGAACGAGGCATTACATTGTTACGTTTTCATTACTCTTCTAAATCCTGATTCTTGTTTCGTAGTCACCCATTATGGTGGACGTCAATGGACATGGAACCCGCTGTGCGAGCGTAGCCGCCGGTGCCAACATAGGAGTCGCTCAGGGCGCGACCGTAGAGAGCATTCGGGTAGCTGGATCCGATGGGTTAGCCGCGGCTGACGACGTCCTCGCAGGTATGTACTTTGAAATTGTGAAATTGTGAGCTTTTTCACTCTGTTTATGTTAGCGTGGAAGGATGGTGAGCAGTATTTTTTTTCAACTTGTGTGGAAGGATGGTCCTTCAGATGCCCTCATATTCAAACTATGACAAATACTCGCTGAATGTAAATTGGATCACATTATCATGCCACAAGCACCGTCTAAGGTGTTTTCAGCACTTTGGACAAAAACAACCCTCGAGTTTCTTTTTAAATAACAGATGTTATTTGAATAACCATAACCCCCAAACCTAACCTACAATCAACTGAACGCAACCTTTCCACTACTCTATTACCAATCACGAAATAAATCAAGCAGCAATAATATGGCAGGACCACTTGTAATGTCACCTACATTTTTGTTTCTTACGTCCCATTAATACAGGGCTTGACGACGTTCAACGGTGGTGGAACAACAACCCGGGTTCTAAGTGTGTCGTCTCCTACTCACTGATTTCCACGTCATTTAGTACGACACTCAACTATGCTTTCGGGAACCTCAGCGCGAATACCGATTGCGTGGTCGTCGTGGCAGCTGGAAACCAAGGTGCGGACATCAGCATGGCTGATGCCTGTAACTACTCACCGTCTGGATCACCTGATGTAAATATTAGGGACTTTTTAATATGTACGTCGACCTAGTGGGCTGCTACGTGTGACGTCTTTCCAAGGCAGTGGCATTGCTCTAAAGGGACGTCAGAGTGCCTTAAAAGGACGTCACACGTAGCAGTCCACTATGTCGACGTGCAAATCTAAAAGTCCCAATTCACCGATTCAGAGAGCTCAACATGGAAGGGCGCACGAGCGGTTAATCGTGCAGCGACAAGGCGACTTGCTTGAATTGAAGAAAGAAAATGTGCCTTATTTAAGTCGAAAAGACGATAAAGTGGTTGAATATATCACCTTCTCACCTTCTCTTTATTAAGGAAACGTCTTGGCGAGTAATAACAAGTCACCTTATCGCCTCCTTGACCTAAACAAGGCGCCCTGCCGAGTTCAGTTATCTTCTCTCCTTCGATCTCGACTGATACAAGGACCCGGCCAAGTTTTGACAAGTCGCTCTCTCGACTTCTTGGCATTGAGAAGGAGCAATGGCGATTTTTTAATAAAGGCCCCCCCCCCCCCCTTGAGAAAAAATCATGCAAAATCACGCGATTTTTACCTTTTTGGGGGGTTGGGCCCCCCCCCCCCCCTCCTGGCGCTCAAGGGGGGGGGGGTGCAAATTTTAAAATTTTCGAGGACCAAAAAAAAAAAATTGTGCTCACTACCCCCCCCCACCCTCCCCCCCCCCCCCCCACTGAGCGACTTTGAATTATTAAGTTCATTGGAAACAACGGCAACTTATGACGCGAAAACCTATAAAAGGAGAAAAACAATAAAATATTGACGATCCTTGGAACTATATCAACTAAAATTTAGGGATACACATGTTTACACAATTATATTTTTCCGCATAGCGGTTACACTTTGTCGGTACCCCATCTTCCCTCTACACTTTCTATTACCCCCCCCCCCCCCACCCTTTGAAAGACGCCTCGCCACCCCTGTGCACTATTTATCTTTTGTACATTGCTTCTTGCTCTTAGGTTATCACGGTCGGAGGGTCGAGAAACCGTATGAATGGCGCGAGCGATGATCGTATCGGAATCTCCAATTACGGTCCTTGTGTCGACATCTACGCCCCAGCAAGAAATATCGACCTCGCTGCCCCTTCCGGAAGCAGTAATTCCAACTACTTAAGATCATCCGGCACCTCCTTTGCAACCCCTGCGGTGGCAGGTAGGAAAATCAATAATAATAATTAAGACAGTATTACGATTATAATAATCATATTAATAGTAATAATAATAATTAATGATAATGATAATAAGGGGAGGGCCGAGTCGGGTTTTAGGTAAGAGATATGATTAAACCTAGCCCTAAAAACCTTCAAATGTTTGGTCCAGGGTTGAAGTTATGAATTCGGTTAGTATGGTAAAGGTAAAGGAATGTCCTCGGATTAGTACAGCAACAAATGATTTTTTTCGCAGAATGTATCTAATGTTGATGCGTGGTTAACATGTGCGCTATGAAATATATATTAGGCCTCCAATTTAAACTATTATTATAATTAATATCATTATTATCATTATTATCGTTATTGTTACTCCTATTATTATCATATCTTTAACGGTTGGTGTACCTAGGTGCTGCCGCCATGATTCTGTCCACCACTAGCCTGACACCTACTGGGAGTGAGACAATGACCGATCTCGTCCTGGACATCCTTATTGCGACAAGTGCCAAGGACAAGCTGACGAGTCTTCCAGCTAGCAACGCCGCGGTTTTACCTTCCAATAACCGCCTTCTGAACGTTGTCAGCAATACTTACTACGCATAAACCCCCGGTGGGTGTAGTTGGTGATGACAATGTACCATGGTAATTGACATTGTCATTTTCATTGTCTTTGTCTTTGACATGGTCATTGTAACCCTGGTAGAAGACAACTTAAACTTTGAATTGATTAATAGCTGATTAAAACATAGATGAATTAATATAAGTAACGGTATCAAACGCTTCTATCTTTTATTTAAATGAACATTTCGTTTTATTTTCTCGATATTATTGGTGGTTAGTTTTCGTTTCTTGCTAAAACTGTTTTTAACTAATCTTTCTTCTTTCTATCATGATATCACAAATTCGTACTTCAAACAAAAAATACTGTAGCAGTACAATTTCATTATTCAGGGGGGGGGGGGGTCGGTGAGGTTTAGACAATTCTGCTATTCACAGGATCATTTACAAGTATCTTCATTTCTAGATTAGAGTATGTAGTTTTTTTACGTATTGCCATACATGCTGTCCCTTTTTCTTTACCATGTATTCTAAATATTGAAAATTAAGCTATGAAATGATGATAATAAACGAATGATATTGTTAGTTAGCATATATTTCTTGGTTTTTTTAGTTTCTTGTTCCGAGTCTAATCGAAGTGCAACCCATTAAGATCCTTTGAAGGATTAATACAAAAAAGAGTCATGATATTTACGAATATGGCACGCCTTTAGGGAAACAAATAAATATATGCGACACTTTCAAAAAATATATTTCACTTAACTCTGTTATATGAAGATAAAGTAGGAGAGAGAGGGAGAGAGAGAGAGAGAGAGAGAGAAGGAAGGGGAGAGGAGGTGAGGTACTCAACTTCTGGGCGGGCTCATGAAACCAACAATGTTATTCTCATGCAGGTGCCGAAGAACCAGGGAGGGAGAAGGGGGGGGGGGGGGGGGTGTACGAGGAAAGAGGGAAGGACTGCAGCCACACCCTTACCTTATTTTAGTTGGTGCATATAACTACTACAGCACTGTATGCAGCGTGATTAGGAACGCCCCTCAAAAAAACAAAAAAAGATATATAAATAAACAAATAAAAATAAATAAATAAATATAAGTGTTAATGCAGATTATTTTGTAATAGTTTATGAATACAATGACAAAATATAAAATGTCTGCATTATTCCTTTGTAAAAATTATGATTTAAACAAGTTTCTATTCACTCTATAGTATTGTATATATTCCACCCATCAAACAGGCACATCTAGACTTGATAAGTCTTAACTATGAAGATTTTTTTTTTTTAAATATTTAAAAAATATTGTAATTGTACAGAGATACAAAAAAGAGGAATGGCATTATTTGTATGGATATTAAGTCCACAAAGAAAAACAAAGAAAAAAAAGATTTTAAGAAAAAAAGATTTAGATTGAAAAAGGTAAACTTGAAAAGCTTAAAATACAATATTGATGGCAAAAAGTTAATACATAGTATTTCTGATGTCATTAAATCCATGGAAACCTAAACTATGTCTTACCAGACAGAAATATATTAGCCGGTTCGTTTTGGATTGATGAAGGTTGAAATTATGTAGAGGCCTTTCCTCAACTGTATAGCAATTCCCAATATACACCAAGACTAGAACCGCGTTCAGGTGATATCGCAGATTACATATAATTAGGATGCTCTCCTTTGTCTTTGATAATGATTAGGAATCATACATGGGATATATACGTAAATGGAATATGATTGCTTCAGTAAACCTTATATCAGGTATTCAAGAAGCAAATCTGTATCGTGATACATACAGTATATAACTTTGCTTGCTGAATTCATTTTCCCCTTTCTTTCTTCTTATGGTTATTGTACGATAATTATAAATAGAATTTTAAAAATCCTATTTTTTTTTGCCTGTGAACCTGATCTACGGTATTTAGTCAAGCAAAACTATTTAAAAGTAGAAATAGAAAAAGAAATTCAGGTTATTGCCAATGTGGTATACTGCTAAGTTGAAATAGAAAAGGGCATTAACACTTGGTATGAATGTGATATTTGCCAAGTGGGATGAGTAGGAACGAGACTGCAATAATCACCTCACCGACAAAAAAAGGAAAAGTTAAAGAACAGAAATAATGCAGACTTTTTTCATTTCATATACATATTGGAAGAAATAAATGAGAGCTATATGCTCTCTCTCAATCAATCAAAGTATTAAAAAGACAGGCTAAGCAGGGCCTACAGAAAATAATGCGTTGATTTTTTTTTTCTTCAATCACTCACATACCTCTATAAAGTCGGCAGAGGATGCGTCTTTGAAACCAATTATGAAGATATTAATACAGCTTATTGTATGTGGTTCAAAAAGCATGTGATATACTCACATCAAAATCTCTATTGAAGGTGCATTCCAACTATGCATGCATTTCTGCCCCTCCCTGATGATAAGCCATGCGTTCAAGAAGATGACATGGGTGCCGATAATTGGAGCAGAAATATCCATTCATCCCCTTTTTTTCTTTCTCCCTTCCCCTTTGTTTTGATTACCATGACTTCCTGACATGCCTAAAGGGCAACTCGAACATGTAAAAAAAAATACGCCATTCCCCGCGGTTACGTTTTATAATTCTTTAAGTAGAACTTCGATGAAAAAGAAAAGTGATTATTGGGGCAGAAACCATATGTTTGCAGCTCAATATACGGTACACGTACATTGAACGCCCACTCATATCATTAAGGCACATACATAGTTAGGTTGTCTATAAATTTCCTTGACTAGACACAATTTATGTAGATTAACAAAGTATAAAATAGTCGGAGCAATTTTTTGTTGTTGATTTTAATGCACTCTGTACATGCTGACAGGCGCGTACGCAGGGGGGGGGGGGGGGTGGGTAAAAATGTGTGTATAATGTTAGTATTTTTGAGCACCCCCCCCCCTTTTGTTGATGCTTATTCAGCGGCGGGCTGAGTCGTTGCGATATTTTTGACCCGATTTCAAAATGTTAACCCCCCCCCCCTTGAAAAAATCCTGCGTACGCCACTGCATGCTGATACCACCTCGTCTGTGTTTTTGTTAACTTTAATCTTTGCACAGCAACTTAACAGCAACCATTTTCAACCTCTTTGATGTATACTCCTGTTTCTTTTTCTTTCCTTTTTGGGAGGGGGGGGGGGGCTCTTCCTTTCTAATATTTGTATTGTGTTGTTTTATGAGGCGTACCGGACGCAAGCTCATGGGTGTTATGCCTTCTTCTTTATCTTTCTACGGTCGCCAATATTGTAATTTGTTGTTTAACCCGACTGCTTAAGTAAGCAACAAGGGGGTCAGATGTGTTACGCTCTCTTCGAGGAACTTGGTTATGAGGATTAATGTCTTACCAAAGGGCATGCTCGCCTCGGTTTGGTTGCAAACCTGGGATCTGCCGGTATTGAGACCACTGCTCTACCACTGAGCCATCGCGCCTCCCCATTAATTAGATATGTCATTATATATCATTACGTTTAAGTATTTCGTAAACATAATTTGATGAGAGAAAACAAAATAATGTTACTTTGGATTGGATTAAATAATCTCTGTACCCCTCGATTTAAAATTGCGACTGGTTTCTTTCGAAGTAATCAACGGGGTTCACCAGTTTACTGTTTCATTTATGTTGTAAGTAACAAATCGATATATTCCAGAAATAATCTTCTGCCTCAAATGTACTCCAATTAAAAATATTCTTTAAATGTCTCTTAAAATAGTATTAAACAATATCTGAGTTGGTCGGGAAGGTCAACTTTCTCCGTCGAGCGATAAACTCCGCTTTGAACGTCGCTCACAAAGTGAAGTGGTTACAAAATTTCATTGATTTTGAGATTATTCCCCTGAGTAGATTCACAAAATTTCCATTTAAATTAAATAACAATTAGGTTTACTCTTGCATAAGAACATCCAGTGGGGTAACTATAGGCATGACCGGGCAAACGTGGGCACGTGCCCCCCCCCCCTCCTCCCCCTGGATGAAATGGATTGGAGATATCAATTGTTTTGTTGTGTTAGTTGTCTTTATTGTTGACAGAAGTGTTTTCATACTTGTCTGTAAGTCTGTTTCTATTTGACTGCCTGGCAGCCACTATTCCAAGGCCATTTTAAGAATAATTGTTAGAAATTACTACGAATTAGTAAATTCAGAAATGTCCTCCATTTAAACATCATGTGTTTGAAGGATAACATTTAACGTACACATTTAATTTTTGTTGCAATCGCATTATATGTTTTTAATCTAAGTTTTCGACACGTTTGGTGAATGCTAACCCTTCCCCCTCGCTCGCTCAGCTCGTTACCCCCCCCCCGAACAATTACCAGTTACGCCACTGACCTCACCCCTTTTCTGGGATCTAGTGAAGGAATGAACACTCTGATGTAACATCAGATCTTTGATATGACTAAACATATTTTATTATGCTTAGCATTCGGAATATATTCATGATTTTTGCTATCAAGGATAAAGCTATTTGTCAATATATCAATTTCTGAATCTCACAATAATGCGGAAAATAGATTTGTGTTTTGACAGAGTCTACAATGACATTGATATCCTGGGGGGGGGGGTTCTCATCGCTTTTGTTAGTGAAAGAATCTGATGAAGAATGCAGAATCCTTTGACATTTACCATATGCAGCATTAAGATACTGATATGAGCCTTTGTGTTTGGAAATATTATAAAGTAAGGTTTGAAAGGTAATATTTGGCTTTGAATTTATACATTCTTCTGCAGCCATCATCATCATCATTATTTTATCTTATCGAATTCGTGCCATCTTTTCGGATATCATGTACTATGAAAATATATCATTTGAGCGTAAAAGCTGTGAAGATATTTGTTTGATAACTTAATAATCCGCAGTCAATGTTATCCCTGAATTTTACATAAATTTATAGGCTAAATTCTTTTTGTTAATTTGAACCTTGTTTCGTATGAGCAGGTTGTATTGTCAAAAGATCTTAAAAGTATTACGAGCTTTGGATATAATTGTCCTTCTAATGTCATCTGAAAATATACAAAATAATACGAAAATTCCTTTTTTATTCATTCAAATTGGTTCCTGTCGCTCTTGATATCAATACAATAGTGAGGTATTATTCAGGCGTAAAACCTATGAGAATATTAAAAATATTCTGCATCCTTTAAAAAGTAAGGAATGTATAGCCACTTAATTCATAAGTAAACGGGCAATTTGAACACGTAGTTTGACGTACTTTATGCATTTCGGTTTAATGTTGTCTTTTATACTGGCTTGTCATGCAGTGCATGGTGTTCCAATATGTAAGTGGGAAGGGGGGGGCATGTGCACCGGGTTGCATTTGAAAGGGTTAAACAAAAACAAAACAATAGAAGCAACACATAAAAAGTGAAATAGAATAAATGTAAGAGAACAAATTAAATAAAATGTATTGTTCTAGCTTTAAAGAATTTATGCGCCTCCAAATCAAAACCCTTACCCCTTAACTCTGGGTAAAGTGCAGAAAAAAGTAGCTTTTATAGTTTAAATGCTATAATTATATTCTGGTGCTCTTTCGCTTTGCTCCTTCGCACAGGTTTATTCAGGATCTGGTTATTTAATAGAGAAGG